CCCTTCTCGGAAGGGAAAAAGACCGAACTTAATGGGCTGCTCAACGAATTCTTAGGCAGATATGCTACCGCGGACCGCCCACTCCATTTTCGGAACACAGCCTACTTGTGTGTCAATTACAGGAGGTTAAATGCCATTACTACACCAAACGTCTACCCGCTCCCTAGGCTAGACGACTTACTACATTCAGTAATGAAGATTGTATGTATGACAACGCTGTACCTACAATATGGGTATTGGAAAATCACCGTGAGGCCAGAAGACTGTGATAAAACCACATTTACTTGTCCTATCGGTCTGTAACAATTTCTCCGTCTACCATTCAGATTACGCAATGTACCTGCCTCCTTCCAACGCCTAATGGACCATTTCAAGCTTCACCTGCCTGACGTCACCATGTTTGCATATTTGGACGACTTATTTGTCATTTCCGCCACCGACAGAGACCATTTGAACCATCTCAGTCTTGTGTTCGAGAAGTCCGTTACTAAAGACACTGAATTTCCGCCTTTGGTGTCGTTCTAAACAAAGAAAAGATAGAAGCGATCTCCAACATACCTTCCCCGAGGAATCTAAAACAACTCAAGACTTACCTCCAAACCTGCGCGAGGCGCTCGCCACCGTTTGGGCCATCGGGAAGTTCCGACGCTACATCGAACAAATCTCCGTAGTGGTGATAACAGATCACCAACCGCTGAAGTGGCTGATGACACTCAAATCACCCACGGAAGAATTAACCAGATGGGCTATACTTCTGCAGGTGTATCATCTCGCCATCCAGTATGCGCCCGGGAAGGTCAATATACTCGCGGATCTTCTATCTAGACCCGCGATCACGGTACGCTCCAACAGACGGTCATTACGGAATAGAAAAAACACTCCGCTGTATCACCGAATGATATTATTGGCCTGGGATGAGCAGATGTATCGCCGATCATCTCAAAACCTGTGTCCCCTACCAGAAATATAAGGCATCTAACACCAAACCAGTCGGATTACTGCAAACATCTGTAATGCAGCGACGAATGCGCCATCCAGCTTGGTCACGAATCGCATCAAACATGGCCTTTTAAGCTACTAACAAGAAGATTTGCAATGAATTCTGCCTTTAATGCCAGCACACAAGTACCCCCGCCTTCCTGATGTTTGGACAGGAAATGAGAACAATATGAGGTAACCAACGATCTTCGAAGCATCATCCCCCCCAAAAAATTTCGTTGAGGAAGACACAATCCGCTTACTAAATCGAAGTTCATTTTACGGGCGTAATTTCAACGTTGAAAGAAACATCGACATTTCAATTGATAGATTATGTCTAAATATCTGGGGAAGACACAATATTTTTTAAAATAAGTGATTGTTTAGTGTTTAATTAATCGTTCATTCTTCGAAGGAAATTGCATTTTTAGACGAGGAGAGAGCATTTTTCGCTTCAACTTTTACGGCAGTGCAAAGATAACATCGAGCTCTATGGGGAAGACCCGGTCATTTTTGTTTAAAATTTATATTTATCAAAATATTTGTTTTTAAAAAAATATTGAATAATGAAAATAAAGTGAAACTAGGCAACCTATTTACAAATGATTCGTTTCGATAAATGGTTGAGTTTTACACAGCAGGGAGCCTTCCGACCGACCCTTGCAGGTAATCAGATCAGGTCATAAAACTCATAAATACTCTTAGCTTAGGAACATTGTTGAAACTCTTTTACAAGTCGACTTCTTACATTGCTAACATAATTTGAATTAAAAGTATGCAAATTTTTATAATTTTATACATTCTACTAAAATAATTTCTTACAAAAAATTATTCCAGTATTTTTTATTAATCTGTCATTTTATATCTAAATCAATACACAAAACTGACAAGATTTAGAATCTCATCACTTCACTAACCACTTATTTTCCTGAACAATCACATTTATTTAAATTTAATTTTTTTATACTCTTTTCCGCACCACCTATGAGACAAAATATTATAGGCGCGTTTTTTTTTACGTGGTATCTCCAGTAGAGCTATTCCACTATTACTATTTATTGTTGCGAATGCAAATAAAATTTTTTATATTTACAATTTTTTTTTTAGAATTTGTCTGATGGGTTGACTTCTTTTGTAACGAGAATCTACTATCTCCGGAAGTAAGGCATGCAAATAAAATTTTTGTAGGGGCTCTATCATATTATATTCCCAAAATTTATCGTCTTGTTGAATTATGCAATATTTAAATTCTTTATGTGTGTAAACCACAAAGTAACACAATTCTTTTTCTGTAATGTGTAATTGTCCTTGAACCTGATACATGTAATTATGAGATTCCTTTAATGTTATGTTACCATCTATATCAATTGTCAAATAATCAATTTTCTTGAGGTCTATCCCTTCTCTAATAGTCAACTTTTTGGCTGCATATGGACATTTTATTTCTACGAGAGCGTTTTTATTTATTAAGCCGTCTGGCGATGCCGCTAAAAATGTATGACACAACTCTGGTGGTAAGCTAATTACGAACTCATATTACATCACTCGCTCGCTACGCTCGCTCGCGTATAAACTTCGTTCGTAATTAGCTTCTTACCACCCTCGATATGTAATATACTATTTTGTTTTATCGACAAACACGCCGCATTGTCTTATTGAGAGACTAGCTTTTGCCCGCGGCTTCGCACGCGTTAAATTCGGAGTAAAACAATGTTTTCTGTAGACCTTTTCAAGGTGTACAACACTTAGTACATTATTTTGATAAATCTCGTAGGGTTAGCCTGCGTTTGCAATGTAAGCGGAAAAAATGTAATTATTTACATCACATTAGAAACCTCAAAAATAACAGTATTTTTCTACTATATAATGGATGTTATTATACATACAGGGTGCCGCATCCAAGTCTAGATATAGGGAATTAACATGGGAATTGGTTTTTATTTTATAATATCTCCCCAGATCACTTTAAAGCTATTATTGAGTGATGGCTTTGTGGAGGTCGAAGAGGGCTATCGGCCAGTATTTTTTTCAAATCGTTGCATCGCGCTCATTTACTGTAAAAAGGTTTTAAAAATCGTATTTTGAAATTCGCGCCCGATCCGAGTTGTCGCGAAATGTTCCGTCGCACTGTCGAAGTTCGGCGATCGCGTCTGCAGATTAGCCATGCAAAATCCAAATGTCAAAGTGAAATTAGAAATTATTCTCAGAAATCAACGAACAACTCAAACTGATTTATTTTATCCGGTGTGATGGTTATTGTAGGACAAATTAAACGGAATAAATGCACAAATTGATCCATTCATTCGTCATAGTACGCGACCCCGTCAAACTATTCATCTCGAACTACACTCAGGCCGTATCCAAAAAGCCCGAGATGAAGACTTCGAGCAGCTGCGATTAGATGAAAAAGCGAGGGCCTGCTTGTTCTTCGACGGTTAATTTAATTAGTAGGTAATTTGGATAAATTTCACACTTTTTTTTGAATCACCAAAGATTGGAAGTCCATTGATTTTACATTCGTTAAGCAGGGATGGAATTTTTGCCGGATGGAAACATGTTCGTTACAAGAAATTTTTGAGAGAGAAATCTAGAACATTCACTCAACAACATTTTAAAATATTTTTCTGTATTACGAATGTGTTTTGGGATTCAGAAACTTTTGTATTACTGTTTTATTTGTTTATTGTGTTAACAACAAAAAAAAATAATATTTCACAAAACAAAGTTACATTTATTTTCAAAGATAATAAAAATTACATAAAATCAGGTGGTGTTAACAGGTGCATGTTTGGCGCCACAATTTGAATTATGCATTTAAAAACTTTTACTAGAGTAGCTTTCAACACGAAAGGGTACAGGTGGTGGGAGTGCGCAGAACATTGTTTTGGTTTGGCCTTACAAATATCGTGCAAGCAGTGGCAGCGCAACTTAAGCCCCGCCCCTGTACCCTTTCGTGGTGAAATTACTTCTAATTAGTAACTGTTGTAAGGGATGCCGTGTCATTGGCACCAATCAAATTATCTCAAGCTCTTGTACGATCCGTGGTAGAAACAATTCACTGGCACTGATTCTTATCAGGTGGGCACGACGTCTTCTAGGGATCTTAAACAGATGGGATAGAAGAGTTTCAAAAAGCATCATGACAAAAAATTAAAGCCTGAGGACTACTCACGTATGGAGTTTTACGAAGGAACGCTTGAGAAAATCTAGGCTGATGGAGAGTTTTTGAGGAACATTTGTTTTACTGACGAATGTTCATTTGGTCTTAAGGGAAGTTATAATCGTCAGAACGATCAAATTTGAACAATACACAATCCTCACGTGGTCGATGACCATCGTTATCAATGGCGTGCAACTGTCAGTGTGTGACTGGGGCTTCTAGGACATCATGTCAATGCACCTTTTTTCATCGAATCTGGATTGAATGCTCAGAAGTAGGACAATATGTTAGATCAGCAAATACTTCCTAGGACTCGAAGGGTGCGGCATCTGCAGCAGATCTTTTACATGCAGGATCAAATCTCCAGCCATATAACTCGCATAAATGTTGTTTATTTGAACCAGTATTTTCCCGCAATGTTGGAATGGAAAGTTTGCACCGCCCCATTGGCCTGTGCATTCGCCAGATCTAAACCTCCAGCAATATTGTCTTCAGATTTCAACTCAAATGTTAATCAACACGCGTAGGAGTTTTGAAGATTGGCGTACTTACTGTACGGCTGCTGAGAGCAGTCTTTTTGAGCAATTCTTGAAAACAGTGCAATAGTTCTCCAGATTCGTACAATATTTCATTACTTCAGTCATCAACAATTATTGTTAAATTTTGTTATTTGTAGTTATCTAAATGGTTCATTAAAAGGTTCTCTTCAAAAGCGCCAGCTCTTTTGATGGTAAATCTTATCATCACACAATAAGAAAAGCGGGCCCTCGCATTTTCATCTAATCGCAGTAGAACATGACATTTTAATGAGATTTTAGTAATAAAGACTCGACCAGCACCACCAATATAACCTAGTAAAATATTTTGTGCAGTTTGTGCATTTATTCCGTTTAAATTGACCTACAATAATAATCGTTATATTGGATAAAATAATTCAATTTGAGTCGTTCAGTGATTACTGAGTGAGGCAGCGCGAGTACATCCCTAGCTTCTTCTTCTTCGTCTTTTCGGTACGAATGTACATTCCTAGCTTGAAGGGCTCCCAGGACATGTCAGAATGCTATCGATGGGGTTTACAGGAGGACCAGCTGCTCGAAGTCTTCATCTCGGGCTTTTTGGATACAGCCTGAGTGTAGTTCGAGATGAATCGTTCGACAGGGTCGCGCACTATGACGAATGAATGGATCAATTTGTGCATTTATTCCGTTTAATTTGTCCTACAATAATCATCACACCGGATAAAATAAATCAGTTTGAGTTGTTCGTTGATTTCTGAGAATAATTTCTAATTTCACTTTGAAATTTGGATTTTGCATGACTAATCTGAAGACGCGATCGCCGAACTTCGACAGTGCGACGGAACCACGGCTGTAGAATAGATAGGTTGAGTATCTTTCATTCATTCACGTTCCGGTAGGTGGAATAATTTCTTTCCGTACCAGTTGGCCATGACGCGCGTTGTCAAATGGGTCCCTCTTACGGTATTTAGCGGCATTAATTTTTGCCACATCAAAAGGACACGATTATACCGACATAAATGACAACTTTGACATTTAATCAAAGCATTTAATAATAATTTTTATGTTAAACGTTCAATCTTTTGGAAGCATCTTTGACCATTGTTTACACTAGCTACTATGCGACTTCTCTGAAACCGTTTTTGCAGAACCCTCATACAACGCCCCTGCCCTGATCGCGTTCCTACTCTTCAAATGTTATGAGAAATATTTGTACAACATTTGAAGGTTAGGTAGGAACGTGATCAGGGGTGTTGTATGAGGTTTTTGTGGGGGCGGATTCGGCAAAATCGCGGTAGCTAATGTAATCAATTACCGAAAAGTTCTTGACCAGTACATTGTCAACTTGTTTTTCGAAGGAATCTGTGTTTATCTGGTCATCGCACATGCTTGTTTAATAATTGTTTACATGAAACAATAGTGCTAGAAATATCGAACAAACCTGCGGTTGCCGAGGTTTGTTATGTATAAATGTACGTTCCTCTCTGAGTTGGCGATCTCGTTAAACCAATTTAAACAGTAATTTCTATCATAATACATCAACTAGAAGTAGAATGACAGTTTTGGCAGCCTGTCAGTTGTCAATTTGCCATTGCAGTAGTGGAAAATTTCATTCATAAAGATGTTAGTGTGTAATCGTAATTCACAGATGGCGAAACGATCTAATGCGCGCCAAAGCCGCCTAGGACACCCAAATTTTATTCCACCAAATTTCCCTTAGTGTACCAACCTTATATTCTACAGCCGTGGACGGAACATTTCGCGACAACTCGGATCGGGCGCGAATTTCAAAATACGATTTTTAAAACCTTTTTACAGTAAATGAACGCGATGCAACGATTTGAAAAAAATACTGGCCGATAGCCCTCTTCAACCTCCACAAAGGCATCACTCAGTAATAGCTTTAAAGTGATCTGGGGAGATATTATAAAATAAAAACCAACTTGCCATGTTAATTCCCTATGTCCAGACTTGGATGCGGCACCCTGTATAAACCTTCCTATTGAATCACTCATCTATTAAAAAAACTGCATCAAAATCCGTTGCATAGTTTTAAAGATCTAAGCATACATAGGGACAGACAGCGGAAAGAGACTTTGTTTTATACTATGTAGTGATGATTGGTGTTAGTACAAAATGCTTCAATTGCCCTTGCTTCGTTTTCTATGCCATGTTGCAAAGGTGTTGGCAGAGTAGTTGCTGAACTAGATTTGCGAGGATATAAAATGTCTTTCACAGTATTAGCCGTGTTAGTTGTTTCTCTCATTTTGCAATTTTACCAAAATAACTTGCGGTTAGTCTAAAGGATCTTTCTGCGCACCGTTCTGGATTATTGCGTTGGCCATTTGTGTTTTCTTCGATTAAAGAGACATCAACGTTTGAAAGATTTTCGAGAAATACTTTTTGCGCTGTTTCTAAGTCCATTTGTGACATATCAGGTATTTCATTTGCTTCGTTAGATACATGTCCATAATCAGAATCTGCATTTTGTGTGCGCTGTTTTGTTTTTAAAATATATTTCTTTTTGTGGCATTTTATTTGTCTAACACTAAACGTTTCGGTATATGTTATCTGGCTCTTATTACATTTTTTCATCAATTCAAAAATATATGCTTCGTTTGTATTGTAACTAATTGCAGATGCATAACATCTACCCCGATATGAGCCCTTTAGTGAAAAGTTGATTCTCTTGCCACCAACAAATTTATTAATTACGGCATTATAAGTCTCCGTGGCATTGTTGTCCACATCAACTAACAAACTAGATGACAAATTTGCTACCCTGTTCAAAGCTGCATAAAATTTTCCATACAACCTAGAATTTGAAAATTCATAAGGCAAACCTGTCGAACTTTCTTGTCCACTTTGTTTACAAAAATAATTTGCACATTTAGAATGATCCCCTAATATGTGGTTGGGACCATTGATTTTTTAAATTTAAAATTTTTTGATGCCAAGGAACGTTTTCTTTTTTTCTGTATCTTATAGCGGCAACAATAGCAGTTCTAAATTTCAAAATATTATTTTTCAAAAAGTTACGTATATGCATATAAGGAATTCACGTTCGGTAGATGTAACTAGATTTGGTAACTTTTTTTTTTAAGCTGTGTAACCGCGGACATAATTGTTCTAGTGTATAATGTATAACTGGAATGTCAGAAAGTAGGTATCAAAAATGTGACATGTAAGTAAGTAAATGGCAAATATCGAAAATGTGATGGTTTTGTGGTGATCTGCTGAATCTACTTTTGAATCCAGGAGAAAATTGCATCCCTCTAAAAGCCCAATTAAAGAGCAACCCGCATGTAAAATTATTTTAGGAGGACAAGCTTTGATGTCATCATCATGGATCCGCAATTTTACCATGGATCCGTTTTGGTATATCCATGTCTCATCCAAGAAAATGAAAAGTAAATCTTCACCACTATCACGCAATTAGATATACCGCTTTAGAAATTTGATTCTGGTACCTATTTAATGTGAAAACCTTCGCCTTCGGAAACCTAAATTTATACGTGTACGTATTACGTACAATTATTCTCCAAGCCGAGTATTTTCCCTTTTACAAAACAATAACGATTATATAAAACTAAAAACCAATTGTAGAGCGGACCCAACAAAGCATGTAGGTATATAAATCTGGGCAGTCGTCTTTCTGATTCTGAGTATAATATTAACGGCACCGACGCCGTTGTATCGGTATTGTTTTAAAATTCGAAAAACACTCGAGAACACTAGCGAACTTTACGGAAAATATTTCTGCTACCAGTTTAACTGTTTCCGTTTTACCCAAGCATTGTCTATTTTTCCCAGTAATTTTTTCAAAACCACGAAATATTTCTTGTTTCTTTTCCTTTAAAATGCGCTTTCTCGTGACTACTTTTGTGGAAATTGTTTCCACGCTGTATTTAAGGATTTTCTTCAAACGAAGCGTGTTGAAATTAGAAAAACATCGTTTTTTTCCAGACAATTCAGATTTGACATTTGAATTAGAAAATTAGACAGTTGATACCAATCTTTAATTTCTAGTGATCTTAAGATTGCAACTTAACCACAGAAAAATTTCTGTCAGCTACTTCTACCGAACGTGAATGCTTATTATCTGTTCTGGGCAGTTTTGACACCTCTCTTATCTTATTACAAAAATCTCGTAATACGTGGTTACGGCATTCTATCTTGTGAATAAAACAGTTAGGAGCGTATGGCTTCGCATCTCTTACTTTCTTATAAACACTGCTGTCACCGTCCCCAATAATTTTAACGTGCTTTAGATTATGTGTCTTCATAGAATTTTTGAATCCGTCTAAAATTCTCAGCGTCCATGCCTGTCGATGTACCCTCCCAATTTTTGAAACATTAATGAAGTGGTTTATTAATTTGATTATTTTTAAATTTGTTACAAACTGAACAAAACTTATTTCTCACTCCAATGTATAAAAATTTTCTTGTTCTAGCCCCAATAATGCAACCAACACCCGATAATGCATTATAATTTGATTTATACGATCTTTTACTCCAAGCCCCATTAACAATTACCGTTATTAATGGAATTCAATCACTGTCAAGTTCACCAGCTTCAACGGCTAATCCATCTTCCTCTTTGCCTGGTCGAATCATTTCATCCAATGCCACTTGCTCTGTAATTTCAAAAATTTTTGTCTCTGACGCAGTATATGTTTTCTGTCTTATTATCGGAATATTCAAAGCAGAAGATAATTCGGAAAACTGCGTATATCCTATACCACCAGCTACTGCTCCACAAACCGCGGCGTCATTTATGCTATAATAATCATTTTTATTTCCTTCTGTATCAAATCTTCTTAAACCACACATCTTACACTTATAAGTAAATCTACTTCGCAATCCTAAATGCTTTTCGTTAATGATATCTACGTCACTAATGTGCATCCATATAGATCATGTTTAATTGATTTAATTTGATACAAATTTTGTCGAATAAATTCTGCTAAAAAATGTGCAAAATATGATGAGTTTTTACTTGTAATTTATCATTGCATTCATATTTTTTAGATTTGCTTATATACCTAGATGGCTCAAAAAAATTAATGAATGAGTCAATTTATTCTATTGATTAAATCAGGAACGACTCACTCCATTTTCCCAGAAATTTTGGGAATATTGTTATTTTTAGTCTAATCCACATTGATTTACGTGTCCTTGCAAAATGTTGATGATTTCATCATAAAATTGTGTACCTAAAGTAAAAATTTGACTCGAAAATACTGGATATGTTTCATTGTATTTTAGGTGCGAGGGAAGTTCTGTCAAAACAACTTTCCACCAATTTTTTTTGCTGTTACATTTGAACATTAACAGTTTATTTTATATATTTTTAAAACATTATAAAGAAAATAAAAAGATGTTAGACTAAACCTTGTGGGTTTCTCAATCTATTTTCCGGAGCATTTTAAACTTTCAATTCAATTTCTTTCAAAATACATACAAATGGATTTTACCCTTCATTTGAAAAATAAATAAGCTTATCTGGTGTTGTTTACCGCACTGAAAAAAGTCGTCGTGAATTCACAAATCTAATACATCATTTTTCAGGTGAATTTTACAAAAAATCTAATGCGATATTTAATTTCTTTGTAATATTACAAAAAACGCAGAACTTTTGCCGTACTTACGATAAATTTCCTTTTGATAAGGTAATTTTAATTAATTTATGTACAATTGATCAGTAAATATACAATAAAGAATGTAATATTTCCATCAAATTAGTAAATTTACCTTGGCCAGTTGTGAATAAAGAGCAACGTTGTGAATTCGCATCGAAACCAGTATATTTACAACGTGTATGTAATTTTTTCTGCTTGCGTGCGCATATTTGGTTAAAGTGACGCATTATTACTTGTGTTGTCTGGACAAACGTGTGGTCTCCTCGTGTACAGGTAAGTCTAAACTTCATACCCGCCATACTGATTTGCATTATTTGTAATTGAAGATTTGAAGATGTTTACTTGTGATATTTGTAAAATGAATCTTAAATCGATAGAGAAATATCAAATACATCAAAAGTTTCATCGCAACATGACTGGAGTTAGATTTAAATGCCTACAGATTGGTTGCACTTTAAATTTTAAGTCATTTAATCGTTTTAAATTTCATGTATACAGAAAACATAATTATCCTAGAAATCAACAAAAACGTTTAACTTCTCAAATATCTTATAGCTGTAATGTGATCAAATGTGATTACAAAAACGATGTTAAAAAAGAGTTTATTGCTCATGTAAATAAGCACATTGAAAGAGGGGTTACAATAAAATGTCCACTGTCAAGCGAATGTACTTCTGTATTTTCCAGAGTTACGATTTTCAAGCAACATATCTTTAGGAAACATTTTTTGAAGTCATCCCTGAAAAACGAATGTGAATATGAAGACACCCAGTCAGATATTAATTTGCCATCAACTAGTAAAAGTATAACGACAAATATAGAGTATGTTGAAGAAAAAACACATGATAGCGATGATTTGTCAGAATGTTTTACTGAAAATTTGGAAGAGGTCAGTTTAAAATTACTCAGTTCATTGTACTTAACATTAGAATCAAAATTTTTTCTGTCAAATAAATCTTTACAATTATTAATCAACGGACTCTCTGATGTTAACGATCTAAACACAAATTTTATCATTAAAAATTTACAAGCTTCTAACTTCGAAGTTGAGAAAAAAATTATTGAAAATAATTTGTTTAACATAGCTCACAATTCTAAAGGCGGTAAGCTAAGAAGTAAGTTTTGTAGAAACAAGTATTATAAGAAATATTTTAATTACGTAAGTCCTGTGTGCGTTAAATTAAATCAAAATTCGAAATATTTTTATGTGTCCATAATAGAAACAATCACAGAATTAATGAAAACAGAATCGTTTTATAAACAGTTTCATAATAAAAAAAACGTTTCACTAAATACTGATGTTTTTTCAGATATTCAGGATGGAAGTTGCTTCAGAAATAATATTTTTTTTAAAGAAAATGTTGAAGCCGTTCAAATTATTTTATATCAGGATACTTTTGAAATATGTAATCCTTTAGGTGCTTCCAAAAAAAAACATAAAATTATAGGCCTTTATGCTATATTTACAAATCTCCCTACTTGGCACCGATCTCAAGTTGAACATATTCAACTACTTGCATTAATTTATGAAAAAGATGTAAAACAATTTGGATTTGCAATGGTTTTAAAAAATCTACTTCAGGACTTGAAAAAACTTGAAGAAGGTGTTAATATCCAGATATCATGCTCTGAAGTTAAATGTTTAAAAGGAGCACTGGTAGCTGTAGTTGGTGATAATCTTGGCAGTCACCAAATTGGTGGCTACAATGAAAACTTTAGTTTATCTGGATTTTTTTGTAGATATTGTTATATTAACAAAGTAAACAAAAATGACGGTTTAACAAAAATATGTGAACGTCGAACAAAAAATTCCTATATTTACGATGTTAATATGAGTTTAGCAACTAATGGATCTTATAGAGGTGTAAAATCTGATTCTGTTTTTAATACATTAAGCTTTTTTCATGTCGCTAATCCTGGTTTACCACCATGTATTGCACATGATCTTTTCGAAGGAGTTGTACAATCCGATTTAATATTAACTCTTGATCAGTTGGTTACTGCTAAAGAAATATGTTTCCAAGAATTAAATTCTACATTAAAAGTCTTAAAATTTGAAGGAGAAAAAAAAGTCGATATACCACTGCTAAAAAAATCCGAGAGACTTTCAGGTACAGCTCATCAAAATATGTGGTTAATAATAATATTGCCGTTTGCACTAGAAAATAAAACATTAACAAATAATAAAGCATGGAATGCTATTTTAATTCTTAGGAAAATAGTTCTGTTTTTATTAAGTTACAAAGTCTCAGTGGGTCAGATAGCTTATTTAAAAGAGTTAATAATAGATTATTTACATAAACGCAAAGAAGTACTACCACAAGAATCTTTAAAACCAAAACATCATTATTTATTGCATTATCCACAACTGATACTACAATTTGGACCATTGAGATATCTATGGACCATGAGGTTTGAAAGTAAGCATCAGTACTTTAAACGAATTGTCAAACATTCAACGAATTATAAAAATGTTTTATATTCTCTTTCTCATAAACACCAATTGTTACAGGCTCTGTTGTATTCACAAAATACTTTGTTCAGCACCAAAGTAATAGCAGATGAATCCCAAATCTACAATTCGAATAATTATCTGCCGACTCTATCCACTAAAATTGAAGGTGCTTTTAAAACTACAAAATGTTTTGTATCTTCAAAAGTCATATTTAGAGGAATTACTTACCAAAAACATGCCGTAGTTTGTTTTGGTGTTGACGATTATGGTGCATATAAATTATGTTCGATTCAATACATAGTTATTGATGAATTTTTTGATAACATTTGTTTCATTGGAACTACATTAAAAATAACATATGATTGTGAAATAGGTTTGTATTACAACACTGATTCTAATTTTAAAAATCAAAATTTGTCAGTTGTAAATTATGATAGCTTAATTCATCCAGAACCATTGCTCCAAAAAACCGAAAGTAACAAAAAAACTGTGTATAGTTTTAAGTCAGAACCATTCGAGAATTTGTAAGTTGTGTAAGTTTTAAGTTTTTATTTAGGAGTATTAATTTTATTTCGAAGTCTGAACATTTGTTTGTCTTTATTTTAGCATAGCAATTTTAACAGTATAATATGTTACTTAAATTTACCCATAACCATCATTGCTCAGAAAGAATACAGTAGGTAACAAAAGAACTGTAGGTAATTGTTGTAAGTATGAATCATTAGAAAATTTGTGAGTTATTCTTTAAGTGTTCCTTTATCATATTATTAGCATAATAGTTTTAACAATGTAATCAATTATTAAAATATAAAAAAAAAATTCTAATATTTTATATTTTAATAATTTAATAATTTATGTTTAGCAATAAACTGGGTGTTGTGTTTTGTTTAGGATGCATTTATTCAAAGTATGGGACCAAACACGTACAAAGAAGGGACTAATCTTAATAAAAGAACCTGGAAATGTTTACGTTGATTTAATATTAAAAGGTAAGTTATAAATATTATTTTATATTCAGACATCATTGTCTTTTTTCAGCATCTCAAAAACTTGAAATTAATGGCGCGACTGTTGTACTAGAATCAGATGGAACACCAGTTGAGGAAGAGGAAATATTAATTGCTGTAAAACATGAAACTTTAATTTTGTTAGAACCGGGTCAAGTTTGGTTGTCGTCTCAATCCCAGTGTGAAATAAGTGAATCATCCAGTGGTCCCAATAATCATTCTTTCATGTCACTGACTTCAACAGAGACTATTGCTTCCACTAAAAGTAACGAATGTATCAGTGGTGCAACGGAATTTTTGAATAATGACTCTTCTTCTTTGGATTGCACCATACAAGCATCTAATTGCAATTTAGAATTTTCCTGGACCAATTTTGTAATACCTTGGGAGAAAATTCCACAAGATATGCTCCAATGTTGTGCCCAAGGCAAACGGGACAAATATGCTATTACTGAAATTGTCCACATTGTTGTAAATGAAATGAAACAAATCAGTGAATCGATTCCGTCAAAAGCTTTTAAAATCGTTTCTTTTAAAATGGTCGATAAATATCCCGCAACCTTTAGAGATTACGACGATGATGGTGTGGTTCTGGGAGATGGTACTGCTAGTTTAAAAACAAAATTGCAAGAACGGTACCATTACCTAAAAAGGCCGCATAAACGGCCAGTATCCACATCACCTGAAACACCACTACATCTTGCCAAAATTAAGAAAAACGCAACGGCAGGATGCGCCCAATGGGCACCACCTTATCAAAAAGCTGGCGCTGCAGCTAAAAACAAATTAAATACCTTCCTAGATGATGCTTCAGACGAGTTTTTCCACCTTTTCGAAGAAACTTTTGCAGAACAAAGGGCGTTTATCAACAATGTCGACCCTCCAAGTATCACTAACATAAAAGACCAATGGCCCGTCCTTTTTAAAGTAGAAGCCATAAAATGGCATTTTAACAAAGTTACGAACGGAAACATAAGCAATCTTACAACGAATTTACAATTAAAAGCAGAAAAAATTGTAAATTTTGGCTTACAACATAAAATTATCATCAGCAAAGACGTAAGACGGGATTCGGCAGAAATAATTGCTTTAGAAGTGTTTGCAAGATATTTCCAGGAAAATATCTATGGGGCCTTTTACCTCAAATTTCAGGTATACAATGTCTTTGTCAGCGATTAATTATTGTTTATTATCGTGTTCTTTAATATTTTAGGATGAAGCTATGATTGAAATTACACAAAACGAACCGTGCATTATCAACTGTAAGCGTAAAAAAAATTCTGCAATCTGATACTTTTTACATACGAGTTTCAATTTTAGGTACTGTCGAAAATCAGTTCTATATATATATGGAAAAAGAAAGGGTGGTACAGTGCAAAGACTTTTTTCAAGCTTTAGAATGTTGCTTTTCTTTGTACTTTATTTTTAATTTACACTACCCGAAGGAGACGTCCACATTTCTCGAAATGATTCAGAGATATTTTTTAAAAATCCATCCCGACACTGGAAGCAAATCGCGCAAGTTATCAGCCTCCAAAAAAAAGGTGCTCAGTCTCATGAGGAAGTTAAGAGACATTTAGACAGATATATGTTACTTATAGGTTAGTTAAGTTTAGTTAAGTTTAGATATAGGTATGTTTTCTATTAATGTTTTTTTATTTTGATATTTTGTCATATTTACAATAAATGTTTACACAATTTTTTGTGCTTTTTTACACTAAACAAGAATAAAAATAATAATAATAATAATAATAACAATAACATATGGTAAATATACAAAACAACCTAAATTTTACTGTTTTTATTGTAAAAATACATTACAGACAGAGTAGTAAACTTACCAAATAATTTACAAAACTGTTGTAAAATTACTTTTTATTTTTCACAGTGACAAGTAATTTTTAAATTAGCATTGTAAATTTACAGCATTTATCAGGGCAACCGGTAACCAACGATAATTACTGTAAATTTACAATTTTACTTTTTTCAGTGCGATTTGGATTTTATGACGGACTCCCTACAGTGACCATAATCCCTCGTGTTTTTGGGTCGGTACCTGCGATGGGTCGGTACTTTGGGTTGCATAGTTACAAAAAATTATTCTTCTCACTGGATTCGAATTTGCAGGCGACGACTGGGGACCCTTAAGGGCTGCCCTGTTTGTTTAGCCCAGTAAACACAGATGTGGGATTGACATGACAGGTACGTACTCACAAAAGAACAATGAGTACATCGCATGATTATGTCTTAAAGATATAGCTTGCCTTATATAGTCTATTTCAGAACTCCTTTCGCTTACGCCATAAACCTTATTTGGGTGACTATTGTTGATTTCACCCACTAACATCAGTTCTACCGAGCTTCTTTTGTTAAAGAACGCACTGTTCCCTTCTTTTCACAGGTAAAAATTGAATCTAAGCGTGTCCTTGTCCTTTAGTATAGGGCAAATGAATTGAAGCAAGAAAACCATGGTGCACTTTCAGCACGCTTGTAAGATATAGCGATTTACTCAACGGTTAGAGCAGTAATGTTAACACTGTTGCACTACATTTACAGGTACTGAAATAGCAATTTTTTAAAGGCGACCGCTACCGGCAACCGACGGTTGAGAAACCCTGGAATCTGTCACTATTTAGGAGGGATTATGGCTTAAGCGAACGGAGTTCTGAAACAGACTATAACATCACAATGGAGTACTCATGTTATGTAACCAACACGTAATGTTAACTACATTTACTAGATATCTCATTATTTATTATGTCGCAGCGATATAGCCTGCATATAAGCGTTTAAACATCTTACTGTAGTACTCCTATTATGTAACTAACACCTAATGTTAACTGGATTGACTATATATCTCATTATTGTGTCACAGCGATATGGCAGGTAAGCCTTATAACATCACGATGAAATACTCCGGTTATGTAACCAATTAGTAATGTTAACTGTATTTACTAGGTATCTGATTAATGTTGTGTTAGCTACATAGTTCGGAATCTGTTTTTTTATTAGTTATCTATGCAAAGTGCTTTTCGGTTCATTTTATATAATATCATGTCAAATCGAAAACTGGCGTTTCCGACACGGCAACACCAAAAAACATTTAAAAACATATATATTAAGTATTATAAAGTTATATTTCATACAAGATGTCTCAGAAATAAGTACCTTAATTTTAATCAGTTACAGAGCTCATCAACAATAGGGTTTTTTTGTCAAGGACTTTTTAATTAACAAGTTAAAAATTGTTAAAGATTTATCCTAATTACGGTTACCCACCCATGGGCACTAATCTCAATACAGGGTGCCGCATCCAAGTCCGGATATAGGGAATTAACATGGGAATTGGTTTTTATTTTATAATATCTCCCCAGATCACTTTAAAGCTATTATTGAGTGATGCCTTTGTGGAGGTCGAAGGGGGCTATCGGCCAGTATTTTTCTCAAATCGTTGCATCGCGCTCATTCATTGTAAAAATGTTTTAAAAATCGTATTTTGATCCGATCCGATTTGTCGCGAAGTATTCCGTCGTACTGTCGAAGTTCGGCGATCGCGTCTTTCCATTAACCATGCAAAATCCAAATGTCAAAGCGAAATTAGAAATTATTCTCATCAGAAATCAACGAACAACTCAAACTGAATTATTTTATCCAATGTGATGATTATTGTAGGACAAATTAAACGGAATAAATGCACAAATTGATCCATTCATTCGTCATAGTGCGCGACCCCGTCAAACGAGACATTTCGAACTACACTCAGACCGTATCCAAAAAGCCCGAGATGAAGACTTCGAGCAGCTGGTCTTCCTCAAAACCTCATCAAAGCGCATCAGCATGTGACATTTTCTGGGAGCGATCAAGCTAGGAATGTACTCGCGCTGCCTCACTCAGTAATCACTGAACGACTCAAATTGAATTATTTTATCCAATATGACGATTATTGTAGGTCACTTTAAACGGAATAAATGCACAAACTGCAGAAAATATTTTATTAGGTTATGTTGCTGGTGCTGGTCGAGTCTTTATTACTAAAATCTCATTAAAATGCCATGTTCTACTGCGATTAGATGAAAAAGCGAGGGCCCGCTTTTCCTATTGTATGATGGTAAGATTTACTTTCAAAACAGCTGCCGATTTTGAAGAGAATTTTAATGAACCATTTAGATAACTACAAATTACAAAACTTAACAATTGTTGATGAATGAAGTAATGAAATATTGTACGAATCTGGAGAAGTATTGCACTATTTTCAAGAATTGCTCAAAAACACTGCTCTCAGCAGCTGTACAGTAAGTAAGCCGATCTTCAAAATTCCTACGCGTGTTGATCAGCATTTGAGTTGAAATCTGAAGACAATATTGCTGGATTGCTTGTTTCAGCGCTTCTCTGTTTGTATAGCTGGTATTGTCTGAATGCAGATGGTCGTGAAGAAATCTCCAAAGAAAAAATTCTCAGGGGTTTAGATTCGGCGAATGCACAAGCCAATGGGGCGGTGCAAATTTTTCATTCCTACATTGCGAGAAAATACTGGTTCAAATAAACAACATTTATGCGTGCTGTATGGCTGGAGATTTGGTCCTGGATGTAAAAGACCTGCTGCAGATGCCGCACCCTTCGAGTCGCAGGAAGTGTTTGCTGAGCAAGCATATTGTCCTACTTCTGAGCATTCAATCCGGATTCGATGAAAAACGGTGCAATGACATGATGTCCTAGAAGTCCCAGTCATACACTGACAGTTGCACGCCATTGATAACGATGGTCATGGACCACGTGAGAGGTGTAATGCTCAAATTTGATCGTTCTGACGATTATAACTTCCCTTAAGACCAAATGAACATTCGTCAGTAAAACAAATGTTCCTCAAAAACTCTCCATCAGCCTAGATTCTCTCAAGCGTTCTTCGTAAAACTCCATACGTGAGAAGTAGGCCTCAGGCTTCAATTTTTTGCCATGAAGCTTTTTGAAACTCTTCTATCCCATCTGTTTAAGATCGCTAGAAAACGTCGTGCCCACCTGATTTTATTTAATTTCTATCACCTTTGAAAATAAATGTCACTTTATTTTGCGAAATATTATTTTTATTTTTGTTGTTAATACAATAAACAAATAAAACAGTAATACAAAAGTTTCTGAATCCCAAAACACATCCGTAATAGAGAAAAATACTTTAAAATGTTGATGAGTCAATGTTCTACATTTCTCTCTCAAAATTTTCCTGTAATGAAGATGCTTCCAGGCGGCAGAAATTCCATCCCTGCTTAACGAATGTAAAATCAATTGACTTCCCATCTTAGATCATATAATAAATAGATACCAATACTCAAACTGAAAGCTGTGACTAGACATGAAGCTATCTGTTGTCGTTTTCTACGTCAAGGGGAGTAGTATAATGCTATCCTTGTGTGATCACATCTTCATCTTTGTTATATGCATTTCATCTGTATATGTCTATTTCACTTCCATCCTTGTACCGCACCAGCGCAACAAATCGCTTTTGACAGATGTTTCTTCTAACCTCTCTTTCGAGTTGTTGTACAAAAAACAATTTTAGAATTTAGAACAAAGATCCTATTTTAAGTGATGTAGTCATAAAGGATCACAATTGCTGCCCAATAATTTACTATTCCTTTCGTTATCTACTGTGAATTATTTATAAAAATCAAGCTGTCAACATCTTTCTTCCGAAGTTAGTTCAGACATACTTCCTAAAATTTAGGCGCGCAAAATTCAAATAGTGATCAGGCAAGGATAGCTTCATTGTAATCCCTCCATGCACGAGAGAGATGTGTGACAGGAGGATGTCGTCACAGGCTGTCCTAGGGAAAGAACACGGCATGGTGGTATCTATTTATTATATGATCTAAGCTTCCCATCTTTAGTGAATCGAAAAAAAAGTGTGAAATTTATCCAAATTACCTACTAATTAAATTAACCCCATGCAGGCCCCCGCTTTTTCATCTAATCGCAGTAGAACATAGCATAACCTAATAAAATATTTTGTGCAGTTTGTGGATTTATTCCGTTTAAATTGACCTACAATAACCATCACAGTGGATAAAATAATTCAGTTTGAGTTGTTCGTTGATTTCTGAAAATAATTTCTAATTTCACTCTGACGTTTGGATCTTGCATGGTTAATAATTAATGGGAAGACACAATCGCCGAACTTCGACAGTAGGACGGAGGACTTCGCGACAAATCGGATCGGGTGCGAATTTCAAAATACGATTTTTAAAACCTTTTTACAGTGAATGAGCGCGATGCAACGATTTGAAAAAAATACTGGCCGATAGCCCTCTTCGACCTCCACAAAGGCATCACTCAATAATAGCTTTAAAGTGATCTGGGGAGATATTATAAAATAAAAACCAATTCCCATGTTAATTCCCTATATCCAGAGTTGGATGCGGCACCCTGTATATAAAAATCAATTGCTGTCCGTGTTAGTCTCGCTAAAGCTTAAAAACGGCTTGACCGATTTGAATACATTTTTTTATTTAGGTCACTCTAATACGGGGATGGTTTATAAATAAAAAAATTGGGAAAACTTAAAAGAACAGCCAAAAAATTAAAAATT